ATGATTCTAGTTTAGGACATATGCACAGGAATTACATCTTAATTTAAAATTTATTAGCTGATTAATTGGTAAAACCGGAGATGAATACTCCTATGGTATCGTCCATGTTTACAAACAAACCTAATGTACTTTTAATAAATTGACTCCGCCCATTTTGAATTTTCTAGCGCTTAATTACTTAAAAATCTTTAGGAATTGTATTTTTCAATTATAATTATTTAATTTATTATTTATATTTATCATTACAGTTTTTAAATTGTTTTTATATTTATTATTACAATTTCAAAATTGTTTCTATAATAAAAAAACCTCAAGAATACTCTACTTATTAATTAATAATTATAAAATTATAAAACGTTAATATGAATTTTATTTTTAATGATTAATATGATTTAAAAATTGTTTCTATAATAAAAATAATAAAAACGAGGCTTTGTATTTAAAAAGCCTGAAAAAGCCTTTTTCATCCGACAAAAAAATATATAATAGTACGACCGTACTGTCCACTCGTAAGAACAATATACGATAAAATAATTTTAATTATGATAAAAAATAACATAATAAGCAACCACAAAGAAACGATGTACGCTTATAAAATACAAAAAAATCTCAACAGATTCTTATTCAAACATTATTCAAAATGACATGGCCAGACCGATCCGTCCTCGTTGGGTTTTTGGCGGAATTGATTCTGTAACCAAAGAGGCTTTTTTAGTGGAAGTTGATAGAAGGGATGCAACCGAGTTGCTACCTATTATTAGAGACCATGTACTACCTGGTATAGTTTATTTTATGTATTTAAGTAATTTCACTTAAAAATAGAAATTCAGGTTAACTATTATTTATTATTCATTTGGTCTGATCAGTGGGCTGCGTATAACATCATCACGGCAGCTACTGGCTTGGCACACCAAACTTCCATAAGCTTTGTGGCCCCTAATGGGGTCCACACTAAGGGAGTCAAAAACATTTGGCGGTGTGCTAAACATAAAATAAAATGGATGAATGGCACATATAATGACCACATGTCATCATATCTTGATGAATTTCTGTGGCAACGCAGTGTCAGGAACCGTGACGATCGGTTCCAGAAAGCTTAAGAGTTTATCCGTACATACTATCCTGTGGGTATGTGATTTCAATGGCGGCTAAGCGTGTTTGTATTATAATCAAGAAAATATAAATGACGAGGGTTTTAAATTGGAATTTAAATTTAATTTCAAATTGGAATTTTAAATTGGAAGTTAGTGAACTTTTGGAACTTATTAAATTATGTTTTGATAATAATTTGATGGACCTGTTGCCTACATTTACAATATATAATATATACCGAATACCTTTAAGACTATCGAGAGATAATAGCAAAAATATTAATGATAATTTAATAAAATTAAATGATAAAATAGAGAAAAATAAACAATTGATTGTGCAATTAGCTAAACAATTGAATAATAGAAGCGATAGTGCACGAACGTGTAACACATGTGAACAACGAAGCCATAACGGTAAAGGTCGTTTACAGCGTATTGAAAGTGTAAACAGCGCTTTCAGGTGATAACGTTGACAACTGCGCTAGTAAAAAATCTTGGGCCGACAGAACCGCTAAATGCTACACGTCGCAAAGTGAGTCATGTGATGAAATTGTCGGCGAGAAGTGGTGAGAAGTAAGAAACGAAAAAAATCGTCAACCTCTCCACAACTGGCATCCCCAAAACCTGCGTCAAAACCAGCTTCAAAACAAATGAAAACCTACGGTACTGGCATCAGCTGTCCATTGAAAGCGTCGAAAATAATAGAGGAAAAAATTTCCTATTATATCGGAAATGTCAGTACATGCAACAAAAATATAATTGAGGACCATCTGAAACAAAACAACATTGCTTTTCTACAATGCTTTCCTGTACTCCGTAAGAAAAATCCGGATGATCCGTTGGTAGAGAGAAGTCAAACAACGGAATCGACGGCTTTCAAAATTATAATACCTTTGAATGAACGTGAAAAACTGGTTAATCCTGACATATGGCCCATGCACACGTTCTTGCGTGAGTGGGCTTACAACATGTCAGCAAGTAAGAAGAAAAATGGAAACTTTCGGCCAACAACAATCAACATCAATCATGGAGGCAACAACTGATAACTAACTATTCATTAAACTTTTTAAAAATTATAAGTATTTTACATCTGAAATTGTTATCAATAATTTAATCAAACCTCAATTACATTTAGTTCAAAACAATATATCGATTTTGCATATAAATGCGCGTAGCTTAGTTAATAAAATGTCAGCACTTAACATATTATCTGATCAATTTTATAACTTCTTTAATATTATTGTGATAAGTGAAACTTGGTTGAATGAAAATACGGCTGATTGCATAAACTTATCTGATTATAAATTTATATATAAAAATAGAGATGTTGGACAGGGTGGTGGAGTTGGTATATTTGTAAAAAGTGGTTTTGATTGCTCTGTTTGTGATGATAGTGTATTTAATGATGAATATGTAGACATGTTATGCATAAATATAAAATCAAATTTTTTCTATAAGTCAACAAATGTGATTGCCTTGTATCGTCCGCCAGACATTAATTTTAATTATTTTTTAAATAAACTTGAGCTGGTTTTGGGTGCGCTAAAGCCAACTCAACAATCTTATATTGTTGGCGACTTTAATACTGACTTGCTAAACGTAAACTCACAAAACATAAGGTTTGAAAATTTATTATTCTCTTATGGTTATATTCCGCTAATAGAATCTCCTACTTGTGTTACACCTTCTACAGCGTCACTAATTGACAATATATTCACAAATTCGTCTGAATCTTTTAATAGTAGAGTAATCATCTCAGACTTCTCCGATCACTTTCTTATATACTCAATATCTAATAATCCAAATCTGCTAAACCGTTTTCATCAACTTCTTAATAAGCGAAATTTAAGTAAAATAAACTAAAATAAATGATCGTAATCTCGATAATGCTTGCTTATCCTTCTACAACACAATTAATAACACACTTGAACTGTTTGCTCCTTTCCAAACTTATAAACCTAGAAACAAAAAATCATGGATAACAGATGATATTTTAAAAATGTCAAATAAACAGTATAAATTGTACAAAAAATATCTACTTAAACCGACAACTAAAAATTTAAATAAATATAAACTGTTCAGAAACAAATTTACAACATTTAAACGCCATAACGAAAATCAATATTTTAATAAAAAGTTCCTAGACGCCAAAAATGATTCAAAGAAAAAATGGAATATTATAAACAATATACTTAATAGGAAAAAGAATACATTTAGCATAAGTAGCATAAAAATTGATAATAATTTAATAGAAAATAAAAAAGAAATATGTGATGAATTTAACAACTTAACAACATCAACATTGCTAAAACTTTATTGGATAATCAAAATAAACCCAAACATTATCATGATAAATTTAAAATTGCAAATTCAATATGTCAATCCATCTTTTTAAGACCAGTTGATGAAATAGAAATTTTAAATATAGTTAAAAATGTGAAAAACAAAACAAGTATTTCTCAGGTTAACTTAAGTAATTACTTAATCAAACAGATGATTA